ACGGCCCTGGGGGCGCACCCAGGGACCTATGCGAACAATGCCGCAAGATGGTCAGCCACGAAGGCTACTTCTTCGACAACGAGCTCGGACTGGACGACTGGACCCCACTAACTAATTGCACACTGCCACCTGGGCATGTCCGCTGCAAGCAGCAGGACTCCAGCTCTGCGCAGACCCCGAGGCAGGCATCTCCAAGAATGGGCTGATACTCCCTCTCAAGCCATGGGAGCAAAGGCTGGGGGAGGGCCACCGACCAGCCGCCCGCCGGCGCCGCAAGGCCCCCCCCCCTCCCCCCCCATTCTTGGGGGAAAAAAACATTTGCGAATGCTGCCGCCGCAGCGGGCAGCCCACTTGCGAGCGCCTGCGCGCCCTCGCTGGGCCCCGCAGCAGCAACGATCCTGCGTCTAGCAACCAGCTGCTGGACCACCGCCCGCCCCCAGGCCGATAGCGCGCTGGCGCTCAAGCCGCCCCCGCCCCTCTCGCCCGCGAGCGGCGCCCCGCCATGGCCCCCTACAGCAGCCCTGGACACATCGGGGACATCCGCGAGGCCGCTCTCGGCGCACGTGTCCCGTCCTCCACAAGCGCCGCCGTCCCCTCTCAGCGCGCTGGGGGCGACAGGCTTGAAAAGGGAATCAATGGCGGCCGATGGCGATGCAAGCGCGACCGCTGCCCTATCAGCGCGCCAGCGCACGAATGGCAGCGCGGAGAAGTCCCCAAAGGCATTTTCATCTTCCACCTTGGAGCCCAGCCACCTGGCTCGGCAGCCCATGACCCCCCGCCATTTGAAGAAAGACGGTGCCTCTTCGCAAACAGAAGGTGGAACGCTACGTGGCACTGCGCTCGCTGCCTGGGGGGCTCGCGGAATGCCCGCCCCTCGGACGTCCAGGCAATGCTGACCAGAGACGGGGCCCAGGTTCACCCTGGCCAAACACCAAAACGGATGCAACCGCCGACGCCCCCGAAGCCGCCGCCGCGCCCCCTTCCGGCCTCGCTGGGCGGCGCCCGCAGCTCGCGCCAGCCCGCGAATGAAACCCGGGATGAGAGGAAGGCAGCAGACGACCCCTTCCACCTCTTCCCAGAAGCCCCCGCGCCTGAGGCACCAGAGCGCGAGCCCGCCGCGACCCCGAGCGCGCGGGGCCAGGCGGCGCGGCAGGCCGCCGCCCGACCCGGCGGGGGCGACCCCAGGACTGGCGCCAGGCGCCCTCGGATTTCAAATCCCGCGCACCGCCGCTTTTCCAGGCGACTAGGAGGGGGCGTCCTCCAGCAGCGCGATCCCAGGACGGCGGCCGACACCGCGGCAACCGCCCCGCCCAGGGGCGCCCAGCCCGCAGCTCCCCACGCAGCAGCGAGTCGTCCAGCCGCTCGCCGAGGAGCGCCACGCCCCGGAGCTACAGCGGCAGGCCAAGGGGCCGCAGCTCCAGCAGCTAGCACAGCACCGCCAGCCGCTGCTGCAGCAGCACCCCGCCGCCGCACCACTTGCAGCGACGGCCTCGCGGGCGGCCTCGCGAACGCGATCCCGCGGACCAGCCGCAGCCCCGTCGCCCCAGTCTCAGATACAGCCCCGCCGCAGAAACGGACCCTGCCTGCGCGCGCCCGCGCCCGAACGACCGCCAGGCCCTTGACCCCCTGACGCGGACGGAGACATACTCGACAGCCTCCTTGCGCTCGCCCCTCGCCCTCGCCCTGCATTGAAGGAACGGGGCATCAGCGCTCTGGAAGCCACCGCAGACGCCCCCCCACTCCCTAAGGCAAATCCAACAACACCATCGCTCACGCCACGGCAAGCTACGTTCGGCAAGCCAACAACATCGACGACGCCCGGAGGGCATGGACGGCGTTCTGGCGCGGCGACGCGCTCTCCAAGCAGGGCATCCCCAGAGGCACCAGAGCCTGGTCGGAGGACATTTGCAGGGCCTTTCCGTCAAGCATCTGCGGCACCACCGCCCCTGGGCCCGGGGTCACCGACGGCGCCGCGCGGGGCGGGCAGCGAGCCGCTCTGGCTGAGCTCGTCAGCTACCTGCAGAGTCATCGGTGCCAGCCCGCCTCGGGGGACGTAGACAAGGCGGCCGACTTATGGGGCCACTGCCGGCTGGAGCACGACGCGCAAGGGACAAAGGCGGGGGGCTCATCATGTGCAGCCGCAGGCTCCTCCCCGACCCCCCGCAGGACACGCGCGGGCCCCCGCCCGTTGGGCGCGGCCCAAGGACAGGAGGTGGCCGCCCCACCCGGCCCAATCACAACAAGATTGGAGCCGCCCGACCCGGGAGGGGGCCGCGCCTGCAGCCCCCTTGCCGCGCGCGAGCACTGCGCCCCAGACGCGCCCGCGACGCCAGCTAAACATCCTGCCTCGGCACATATGTCGTACACCTGCAGGCCGCAGGGGCGCCGGCCCACCCGGTCCAAGGGTGGCCCGCGGCCCCCCGCTCAGCACTCGGCAGGGCTTGAGCCAAGACCCTCAGTCGGCGCGACCCCTCCACCCACCTCTTGGCCCGCCGCCACCAGCAGCGACGCCGCCGAAGACACCTCCCCCGCCCTCCCCAGAGGAGCAACGCCCCGCCACTCCGCCCCCGCCTCGCAGCGACGCCCCCGACTGGGGGTCCATTTGCGAGCCCCCGCCGCCTGACAGCCTTGTGCTACAAGACGATGAGCGCGCGCCCTGCAGCCACCGCGAGTCGCTCCAGGCCGAAGCCGACGGGCGCAGCGGCAGCCCTGAAGCTGGGCAGACCCTGCAGGCGGAGCGGGCGGTCGATAGGCCCACGTCTACTGCGCTGACCGAAGAGACCGCGCGCAAAACCCACCGAACAGCGAAGCCCGCCAGCCCTGCCCGCAGCCCGCGCCATGGCACCGGGGAAGGGGATGCCCCCCGGCGGGCAAGACGGTCGGTCCGACCCACCCAACCTTGCGCACCGCACCTCCCACTTGCAAACCAACGCACCCATCCTGATCCTCACGGTTTTCTTTATCAGATACTTCGCCAAACCTTATGATGGCATCGCGCGTGGAACTACGCCGCCAATAGTGGGGAGACCTGGCCCGAGGTCATCATCAGAGTCAAAAGAGAATGTGGCCCAATGCTCGCGATCGGCTGGAACGCTCTCTGCGACGTCAGGGAAGGGCGACGCGGGGCCACCTGTCACTGGGTGGGGCAGGGCGAAGTCTGACAGATGACGCGCGCCAGTTGATCGAGGAGGATTTCGACATGCGTATCTCACGCCGGATGCACGGCCTCCGCATCGACTGGCGCGATGCCAGGCAGATCTGGAGAATGGGGCGTCTCCGCGGGGGCGGCAAAGGCAAGGGGAAGGGGCTGGGCCCCACGAGGAAAGGCAAACGCCTCGCCGACCCGACCTGGCCCAGCGACGAGCAATCCAGGCGGCGACGCCCTGGTAGCCGCACCTGGCGCTTCTAATCGCTTGAACTCTGCGCGCACAGGGTGATTTCCGCCCCGTGCGACCCGGCGGGCCCGCCGCTGCGTCGGCCTTGGTGCGCCTGCACTAAGCCGCCGCTTTTCTTTTCATCAATTCCTATCAGCCGCCTCGCGCAAGTCCGTCCTTGCACCCTCTGGGCCCGCGCCCGGCGCGTCCTTGAGGCGCCCCCGCCCCCTCCCCCGACGGCGGCCCGACCGACGGGGCCCCGCGCCGGAGGCCCCTCTCCAGCTTCTAACACGGGGCTGGGCTCGCCTCTCTCGCTTTGCATTGTTGACTGCGCCAGTTCGGTGCTCCTCGGGCGCCCCCCCCCCGCCCTGCCCGCCTGGGCAGGGCGGCGGGGGCGGGCGCCCCCCCTGCCCCCGCCGGTGCCCGCGCCGCCCCGCCCCGTCGGGGCTGGCAGCCGGGCCCCTGCCAGTTTTGGCTTGGTCGGGGCAGCCGCCCTCGCCGAACTTTGCGCCCCGCCCAGCTCCGACCTGCCCATCCGGACTGGGGCTGCACCCTCTCCAGTTCCAGCGCTTGCGCCGTCTCGGGGCCCCCCGCTGGCTGGCGGGTTGCTGCGCCCGCTTGCGAAGCGGCGCCGCTACGGACGCTGCCCTCTGCCCCCCGCCCCCCCGAAAACCTCGGGCCTTGGAGCCGCACTCCCGCCAGTTCTGGCCAGGCCGAGGAGCCGCGCGCCCGCGCGCCGCGCCCTCACCCTCCGGCGCTCACCACGCCGCCCCCTCTCCGGCCTGCTGGCCCTGCCCAGCAATGGCTGCGCTCGCCCGCTCGACCTTGGGCTGCCCTCCGTCGCTGCTCCGCCCGCCGCGGCAGGCGCGCGCCCCAGGCGCCCCTTCTTTTCCCCGCCGCGCGCCCCCTCCGCATTCGTGGGTGTCCTCCGCAGCGACGGGCGGGCCTCTGACCCACTCGCCCACCACCGCGGCCGCTGCTTTCCCTCCCTTGGTGTCCTCCCTGTTCTCCCCAGCGGGCAGGGGGCCCGCCCCCTTCGTGACTGCACCTGTTCGGAGCCCGCCCTCGTGCCCCCGAAGCGACCCACCTTACGCTGCCCCCGCAGGATAGTCAGCAGCGCGCACGCCCCTCTTCGGCCTACGGGCCGCACACCTCCCCGCCTCGGCGCCTGGGCTGGTCTTGCCGCCCGCGCCTCCCCCCGCCCCCCCATTGCCCGTTGTCGAGGGCCTCGCCGCTTTCCCCCCTTGGAGTTCCGGCTCTTCCCCGGTTGTTCGCACGCGCATCTCTGCCGGCTGACCTGGTCAGCGCCCGCCTCCGTCGCCGCTGGCCCCACAGCCCCGCTGCTGCTGCCGGCCCTCCTTTGAGCGGCCCCGGCCCGTTTCCCTTTCACTTCGGTCATCGCCCCGTCGTCCTTCCCCCCTCTTGCATGATGGCACAATTCGCTGAACGCCTGCCCCGTTTCGCTCCTTTCGCCGGCGCAGTGACTCTGCCTAGCCGCCAACGCAAAAAGTGCGTATACACAGATGCGTCCCTGACCTAGTTGGAGAGACGTGTTCACCAATCCTGGGCCACAGATGCGGCATGGCCATCAGCGGTGGCTATGTACAGATCTCGTCACCTCACAAGGGTGCCTTCGAGCGGGTCTTGGATCAGGTCGTCCGGCAGAAGGAGCAGGTCGCCCCGCAGAAGTCGGAGCTGGGCCGGGCAGGTCAGATGTTCAGGCAGGTCGTCGAGCAGCGGCTCGCTCCGCGCGCGGCCGCCAAGAACGAGCACCCGACGCCGCTCCAGATGGGGCGCGCCACGAGCGCCCCGGGTCAGCCGAGACGGAGCCACGCCGAGGTGTCGGGCAGCGCCAAGGGTGGTTCACTTCTGGGAGTCCCCTGGGGGGCTCTGGGGGGCTCCAGGGGCGTGTGTTTCCCCGGGGATGGCGGCGATCCCCCTTGTTGTGACTCCCTTTGGCGCTGCCCGCAGGTGGGGCTGCCAAAGGAGACCTTCGTCGGCGTGGGCGCGGGCGTGGACGGCCTCGTCAGCAGCACCAGCAGCACTGGGCTCCGGGAGCAGCCACAAGCACGGGCGTTGGCGCACGGGCTGCAGCAGTTCCAGCAGGTGGTGGGGCGAGCCGCCGGGCGAGCCGTGGCCAACCAGCGCTTGGTCAGGGCCTCGGGCGCGGAGCACGCCGGGGCCGTGCCGCCGCCGGGCTACTTGGATCTCTTCGGCAATGCGGTGCCAACGCACGGTTCAGAGGCGAAGGGCCAGCTGGTCAAGGCCAAACCGCGCCGCGGCTCTGCGGTGCACAAGGCATCGACCGCGGTGCACCACCTCGGCTCCGTCGAGGAGCACGTCGTCCGCGGGGTCGCCTCCCTGCCCGCGGGCAAGGGCAGGGGCAGCCCCAGGGAGGCGCGGCTCGGCGCCGCGCCCCAGCCCGCGAGCACGGAGGAACCCTGGGAGGCCTCCTCCTCCTCCTCCTCCTCCTCCTCCTCCTCCTCCTCCTCCTCCTCCTCCTCCTCCTCCTCCTCCTCCTCCTCCTCCCCAGCACCGCGCCCCAGGCGACGCCCGTCCTGGCCAGGCCGGCGGACGACGCGCTCCACCAGGACTCGGTGGGCTCGGCGCTCGCCAGGAGGCTCTCCACGGCGCGGCCCGTGGCGGCGGGATCGGGGCGCCTCGAGGGCGGCAGCGCGCACTCGCGGAGCGCGTCGCCGCCCGCGTCGCCCGAGTTGTCGCGCGGCCTGGACGGGCTCGCGGACCGCTTGGCCTGCGGCGCCGCGGGGCGGCGGGGCTCGGCCAGGAAGTGCCGGGGCTCTGCGCTGTGGCGGGAGCCCCAGGAGCTGTCGGCCGCGGCGGAGTTCGTGACGGCGGCCGCCGCGGCCGCGCACGCGATGCCAGAGCCCGCGGCGTCGGAGGGGTTGCGGACGTGGCCGGAGCAGCGCTTGCCGCAGGCGTCCGCGCGGCCGAGGCAGCTGGTCTCGGTCGATGGTCTCGCCGCGTGTGAGCCGCTGGCCGGGGGCCTCTCGGCGTCGAAGAGCTTGACGTCGAAGAGCTCGGCGTCGAACGACGAGTCCTTGGCCGATGGCGGAGACTCGCAGGACTCTCGCTGGAGGCATGGGAGGAGCAAGAGCCTCGCGCGCATGGCCTCGGACCAGCAGGCGGCCATACAGCAGCAGCTGCTGCAGGGTGCTCGCCCTTCGCGGCGCGGTTCCTCTGCGGTCAGCCGCACGGCGAAGGCCCTGGACCTCGGCGGAGAGGCAGCGGCGTCGCGTGCGGGGGTCGTGCGGCACGCGCGCACCGAGAGCGACGCCCACACCGAAAGCAAAGTTTCAGCGACAGGCGCCAGCGTCGCAGAGCGGGTGCCTGACAGCAGGGCGTCGCAGATGCTGACCTCCAGCAACAGCTTATCCTCGACGCTGCGGCCAAGCTCCTCGCAGGCTCGCCATTCCCGCATCCAGGAGTGAGCGCTCCTGCGCCGCTGCCGGCCTCCTCTGCTCGGCATTGCAACCTCTCACCAGCTCGTTTGAGCCCTGCCGCGTAGGAAGACGCTGTGCCTGCGCACCTGACAGTACTGGCCTCGCCCTGGCTGCGCATGGCAGATCGGGCGAAAACCTCTCGTGCGGCCAGCGTCGGCTGTCGTCCCTTGCCGCCGTGGGCGAGGGCGCACGGGCCGCCACCGGGCACCGCGCAGTGAGCGCTCGCCTGTTGTGCTCGCTTTCGCGGTGTCTCTGCTGCTCGCTCCCTGTGCCTCTGACTCTCTCCGTGTGCGCCGCGTGGTCTGCCTGTGCCAGGCCTCTCCGACCCCGGGGGTGGGCGTCCCCGCGGTACCAGTCGGGTGCTGCCGTGTGGCGCACTCCAGAGAGGCCCTCGCCTTCGAGAGTCGGAGGAGTTGTCATCTCTTCTTCGGCGGGGGGCGGCGGAAGGTCGTCGGAAGGTGGCGGAAGTAACACGGGGGCGGGTCCGCTGGCGGAAGCCAGTGGAAGTAACAATGGCAAGGTTTTTTGGGGTTCAGAGTTTCCAGAACACGTCATCTGTCGTCCGTCGTCTGTCGTCCCTGTCTGTCGTCCGTCGTTCATCCGTCGGTCTTGCCTTCTCTCTGACTTCTGCCACCGGGCTCCTCTCGCGTTCGTTAAACAGGTGTCCCTGGCCCAAGAGGTCTGCAGACTTCCTAGGAAGGCCCCCGCGGCCTCCAGAGCACCCCTAACGAGGTCCAGAGAGTCTCAGGGGCTGCAAAATGGAGCGAAAAGCTGGTGACACCTCGGGCCAGGGACGTGTTTAGCACCCCCCAGCAGGCTCACATCACACATTGTCAAACACACATACCACACACGCCCCTACATATGTATATATATAGATACATGTACATATATGTATACAAACATATGTATATATACATGTTTTTATATATGTATACATATACACGCACGCACACACACACACATACGCACACTTTTTCGGCGTCGCGGCCCTGCGAGCAGCGGCAGGGCCGAGACCACGCACATACACACACACACACACACACACACACACACACACACACACACACACACACGCACATGCACGCACACGCACACGCACACGCACACGCACACGCACACGCAAACGCACACGCACACACGCACACGCGCACACGCACACGCACACGCACACGCGCACGCACACGCACACGCACACGCGCGCACACGCGCACGCACACGCGCACGCACACGCGCACGCGCACGCACACGCACACGAACACGTACACGCACACGCACACGCACACGCACACGCGCACGCGCACGCGCACGAGCACGCGCACGCGCACGCGCACGCGCACGCGCACGCCCACGCGCACGCGCACGCGCACACGCACACGCACGCGCACGCACGCACGCACGCAAACACACACGACACACAACACACACACACACACGCACGCACGCGCACGCGCACGCGCACGCGCACACGCACGCACGCACACAAATGCAAACACAAACACACACACACACACACACACACACACGACACACGACACACGACACACACAACACACACATATCCGTAGCCATTTTGGCTCAAGGGCGTGGACGCAGCACTCGAGCAGGCGGCGGAGGCCCCGCGGGTGTTCGGGCGCGAGATCGCCCGCCCCCAGCAGCAGCTCGCGGCTGAGCGGGTCGCTGGGGAGGCGGCCGAGCAGCCGGCGGAGCGGCTGCCACAGGCCGCGCCTGGCCCGGAGCCAGGCCGGCGGCTGCGGAGGCGCGGTGGCTGAGCCTGGCCGGCGCAAGACACCCCTTGCTATATTCATATTTGCATTTCTACGCTTGGTGCGCTGATGGTGTTTCTGGTGTTTGGCAATGGTCGCTTACAAAATTCTGATTGTTCACACTTTGTTCCATCACAGTGTATTGCAGAGGGCCTCTTACACATGAGCAATTTCTAGCTTGCGTTGGAAGTGGTCTGTTGCCTGGCGAGCCGCGGCGCCGCCCTCGGGTGTCGCCAGAAGGGCTTCGCTTGGCCGTGAAAGCAGTTTCCTGGAGAGCAGGGCTCCCTCGAGGGCGCGAAGTTATTCGCGCTTCGCGCTTCGCGGTCCTCGTTCCTTCTCCTTCTCCTCCTCGTCCTCCTATTCTCCCTTTGGGAGGGCGGCGCGAGAGCGCGAAGTTATTCGCGCTTCGCGCAGCGCGCAGCGCGAAGCGCGAAGTTGGGAGCCCTAGAGAGCTGGGACGCTGTCCCGTGTAGTCGCCAGAAGGGTGTCGTTTGGCCGTGCATGCTCACTTTACCCACTGCCGTTGTGATATAGTTGCGCTTTGATGCTTGAGAGTTTGTTGGTGCTTCTTGCGACTGGCAGTGGAAGTTTGCATTGAGCCCGCTGCTCTCGAACTCCCTGGAGTAGATGTCGAGCCAGACCCAGTCGAAGTCCCCTGAGTAGATGTTGAGCCCGACTCCGTCGAACTCCCGCGAGTAGCTGTGCGGCCCGACGCTGCCGAACTCCCTTGAATAGATGGCCTCGACGCTGTCGGGGATGTCGCCCGTGTATCGCCTCCCTCAAAAGGCTCCGCTACCACTGGCGGAGCCGCACCGGCGGTGTGAACCAGCTCGCTCTTTTTCTTTAGAGCGTAGCGCCAAGGGGCAGCTGCCCCGATCGCTCTCGGCCGCCCGCGGGGCGGCTGACAGTGAGATGGTCTAGAGCCCTGGGAGCCCCCAGAGCCAAAAACGGCAGCGGCGGGCACAGGGCCTCGACGGGGCCCAGACGGGCCCCTAGGCGGCCTCGGAAGCCCCAGATGAAGAAGAATCTGATGGTGTGCGTGCGGAGGAGGAAGGACGGGTGATGGTAGGAATCTCGGCGCTCTGTCAGAGTGGAGGCGCGGTGTTTGCCTGTTGGGCCTTTTCCAGCGTTCGGCTCCTGGGGCTTGGGGACCGCTGCGCTGGAAGACCACCACGCCTTAAGGAGCCAGGAGAAAGGAGAGGGGGCGACGACGAGCCCAGCGGCGACACAAACGCTGACGGGCCTCGCCCCCGGACACGGCCTGCGTACCTGTCCACTGGGCATCTCCATGTCTTCGTGCAGCCAAGACGCTGAAGTAAGGACCACATTGGACCCGGGAGTCGTCTGGCTTCTGGGCCTCTCATCCGATCTGTGTCGGGGAGCCCATTCGTGGCCGAGGTCCGCCGTGGACAGAGAGGCCCCTTTGGCTCCTTATTGCTAAGGCCTTACGGCCAGTGCCGCCGACCCTGGATACCTCGGCCCTCGGGGGTGACGGGATGCGTCATACGACGTCGGGGACAAATGAAGACGTGGCGGAGGAGGAGGAGGAGGAGCACGAATAGGAAGGGGAGGAGGAGGAGGAGGAGGAGGAGGAGGAGGAGAGAGGAGGAGAGAGGAGGAGGAGGAGAAGAGAGGAGGAGGAGGAGGAGGGAGGAGAGGAGAAGAGGAGGAGGAGGAGGAGGAGGGGAGGAGGGGGAGGGGGAGGAGGGGGAGGAGGAGGAGGAGGAGGAGGAGGAGGGAGGAGGAGGAGGGAGGAGGAGGAGAAGGAGAAGCAGGAGGAGGAGGAGGAGGGGGAGGAGGAGGAGGAGGAGGGAGGAGGAGGAGGGAGGAGGAGGAGGAGGAAGAAGAGGAGGAAGGAGGAGGAAAAGGGGGGAGGAGGAGGAGGAGAGGAGGAGGAGGAGGAGGAGGAGGAGGAGGAGGAGGGAGGAGGAGGAGGAGGAGGGAGGAGGAGGAAGAGGAGGAGGAGGAGGAGGAGGAGGAGGAGGAGGAGGAGGAGGAGGAAGAGGAGGAGGAAGAGGAGGAGGAGAGGGAGGAGGAGGAGGAGGAGGAGGAGGAGGAGGAGGAGGAGGAGGAGGAGGAGGAGGAGGAGGAGGGGGAGGGGGAGGGAGAGTGTTGTCTGGGGGGATGCGTATCTGCCCCCCACCCCCCTTCCCCGGTGGGGAGGGTAGGGAGGGGCTTCGCCACGACTACGGTTTTCTTTTGTTTCGTGTTCGATTTCCTTTTTTCGTGCGACGACGATGACGACGACGACGACGACGACGACGACGACGACGACGACGACGACGACGACGGTGATCCACGCAAGACGACGACACCGGGATGCGTCTTCCACACGCCGACAGGGTCGGCGGATTCAACGTTCCTTCTTGGTCGCGCGATGATTATAGGCTCGGGGGGACTGCGTCGACTCCCAGACGCCCCTTAATCGCCGATAGGGGCCTGATAGCCCACACCGCCTAGGAACGTGCGGGTTCGCTATCGGCGGCCTGCCGCAGATTTATGGGCGATGCATAGCCGAACCTCCCCGCGCAGGTACCTTTCGCCCTCCAGGGCTCTTCGCTTGACCTTTATCCGATGCTTCTGCGCAGTACAATTCAGGTTAAACAGCCCATTGAGGGCGAAGTTACTTGCGGTTGGCACGCAAAACGCATCAGCATTCGTGTAGGTTTGATTGTCCTTTCGATCGGGGTATTCCTTCTTCCACGTTCCTTATGGTAGCAGCTGTAGCACGGTGGCCGAATTCTTCGACCTGCTCCTCGTCGTGCGAGAAGCCAGCAGGCGAGAGAGCAGAGCCGCTCCCCAAAACACGGCCCCTCTCCAAAAAAGAACGCGCGCGCGAGCTGCGGCGATGAGCCGTGCAAGGCGGAGCGGTCAGGGCCGCTTCCGAGCCACAGCTCGTCTCCAGCTGCCTGCGTTCCTCTCCAGGGCGCGACGTCGTCATGAGCAAAGAACCCCGACGCCAGAGGCGATGGCTTCTGAGAAGCCCCGCCGCCTTCTGAGAAGGCCTTCTCCGTCTTACCTCTTCACTCGCTCGCCGCCGACCCTTGGAAGGGAAGGGCGGGGCAGCTGGAAGCCGGAACCGCCATCGCCTCCAGACAGCCTTCGAGCCCCCAAGGGAAGACTCGAAAGGAAATACTTGGGTGGCCCGCGCTCTCCCACTCTGTGGCCCCCGACACCATCAGCAGGCCCCCGACACGGCCCCCGAGGCCCCCCCAAGAACCCCCCAGGACGCCTCACGAGGCTCCACCAGAGGCCCCAGGAGCCCGACGACGGCCCCGGGAAAACCCAAGACCGTTCCAGGCCCCACGACCCAGCGCGGACCCCCAACCTTTCAGAACCGGCCCAAAGTCCCCACGAGTCCCACAGGGGTCCATCCTGACCAGGCCTGAGAAGCTGTTCGTGTCTTCGGGGAAGGCTCCGAAAACTTTTCAGAAGGCCCGGGAACTTCCGAGCCTTCCGAGAGGAGTCGTTAAAGGCTTAACGACTTCTGCCGTCCTTCGACTCGCGCTGGAGCGGCCGCGAAGTGCTCGAGCTTTCCCTGGAGATCTCTGGATTTACCTGGATTTACCCAGATTTATCTAGATTTACATGGATTTACCTCGATTTATCTGCATTTACCTGGGTTTATCTGGCTCGATTCTCACAAGTCGATTGGCGAAAAGTCGACAAGCCCTTAGGGAAGGAGGGCTTCCGCTTCTCCCCCCCGGGCCCGCCGCCGAAACAGGGGGGGGGGCTTCGGACTCCCTCCCTTCCTGTCAGCAGCCGGAGGCCTGCCCCCATCCCCACTCGGGAGAGCCTCGGGCTCGCTGTCCGACAGCTCGCCCCCTGGACGGGAAGTTGGATGCCCTCTCTGGGGCTTCGCGGCATCTACACCTTAGGCGATGCTTAAGAAAACCCAAGTTTTCGGCCAGAGTCTCGATTATTCTTAACGTTTCAATGTAAATCCTAAGATTTGACTAGACACTCTGGGTTTTTATTCAAATTCTGAGACTATGAATTTCTTAACCCATGATTTCTAAAGCATTTCGCAGGGTGTATAGCCCCACGCCGATGGGGCAGGCTGATGGCGCTGAGGAGCCCTGACCTGCTATGGGTGGGGGCAGGCCCGATGATGGTGGCTTTGGAGGCCGCCCCACGCCGATGGGGCAGGCTGATGGCGCTGAGGAGCCCTGACCTGCTATGGGTGGGGGCAGGCCCGACGATGGTGGCTTTGGAGGCCGCCCCACGCCGATGGGGCAGGCTGATGGCGCTGAGGAGCCCTGACCTGCTATGGGTGGGGGCAGGCCCGATGATGGTGGCTTTGGAGGCCACGGCCCCTCTCTTCACACCAGGGCTCGAGCTGAGCAGCGTTCTGGCGATCTCTCGTGGGCCGTTCTCGTTTGGATGCCTCGTCTCGCAGCAGGGGCGGGACAGAGACAGAGCGGAGAAAAGCGGCAGCAAAACGACAACGAAAAACAAGGTGTCGCTCGAGCCTTGCTTCACACGGTGGGTGCGGGGCTTCGGGAGCTCGTCACACCCTCATCCGCCTCGGCGGCGCATGCCTGTCTTTCCAGGAGGAGGTGGGGTCGAAAGCTGTCCCCCCTCAGGATCTAGGCGAGTAGGTCAGTGCCTCGCCCTCTGCCACTCCATCTCTCCGTGGCTGTACACGGGCGTATCGAGAAGTGCATACACTCAGGATGAAAAGCCAGTCCCAGAGAAAAATTCAAGGCGTCGGAGGTCTGGGGGCGGAGGCTACCCACCCGGAATCTTTCGAAGCCCGGGGCGCCCAATCCAAAGGGTTGGGGACTTTGGGAGCTGCCCATCGCCAGCGATTCATCGCCCCCAAAATCAGGCCGCTCAGAAAAGACTGGGAACTCGTGGAGACCATCCCCCAAGGTGCTCTTCTGACACACCCCAGCCGAAGATGCACGCCCCCCCCCCAGCGTAGATCCCCGAGCTGAGGTCTCGTGTCCGTGCGGAAGTGCCACACCACACTGCCCGTGATCGGGGGCGCCATGCTTCCCTTGATTCAGGAGCAACGGTAAGGGGGGCATGCGCTAAGGTGGGGACGCATGGACTCCAAATCGCTCATTCACCGCCGACAGGGAATCCGTCGGCGATGTAGTTATCACCGATCCAGGCTCGTTCCCTCCCCCCTGAGCCAGTCTCCTCCCATCGTTTCTCCTCAGCTATATACCCGGTCGACTGGTTCGGTCGACATCGATCGGCGGAACTTCGGCCACACTCGCAGGACACCCTATAGAGTTGGCCTGCTGCACGGTCTGGGTGCTAACAGTACAGCTGTTTTAGCGATGCCATTCCCCTCAGGTCAGCTGTCTTCCCTCTTCCCAAGAATCGGCGGCCAGCGCGGGGGGGAAGTTAGAGGCTCTGAAATCCTCGGGCCTTCTCAGAAGGCTCCGAAATCCTCGGGCCTCCTGAGAAGTTGTCTAAGCCTCCCCCGAAGACGCAGAAAACCCTTCCAGAGGCCAGAGGCCTTCTGAGAAGCTTAGCCGCCCTTCCGAGGAGGCCGTTCCCCACTCCCCCTCCCCGCGCGCCGCCGATCACCCCCAGAGAGAAGACCTACGGCGGCGACATCAGGTAAGGAACGCCTTCCTGGGGCCCAGACCCTGGCGCATTCCTGAGTGTTTGTTTGCTTTTCGCTCGAGGGCCTGCTGGGCGATTGGACGATTGGACTGATTGGACGATTGGACCGATTGGACGACTGGACTGAGTGTTTCAGGGAGAGGTGGGCGGCCCACGTTTGGCCTCCCACTGGTCGCGAGACCCTGGGCTCCTCATCGGAGGCATCCTTCTCTGAATCAGGAGGGAAAAAAACACACAGACACAATTAATCCTCGATTTCCCAGAAAATATGGGAAAATATGGGAAGTGGTGGGGAAGACAAAAACCCAGAAAATATAGGAAAATATGGGGAATCTTTTTATTTGTGTGTATTTATTTGTGTGTCCCAGTTTCCCTTCTCTGAAACCTCGTGGGCCAACGCTCGTGGCGCTCGCGGTCAGCCGGGCTGGCTCGCGCCCCCGAGGCGCGCCGCGGGGGGGTGCATCGGCGCCTCCGCGGGGCCCCCGCGCGCACCATGGGCCGTGGGCTCCGCCGTGGCCGGCTCGCCGCGGAGGGGCCCGCGGCGGCGCCGCGGCGCCAGCGCGCCGCCCGCGCGGGAAGCTAGTCGGCCGCGCGCACGGGGGGGTAGCCACTCCTCCCCCTCCGCCTCCCCCTCCTTTTTCTCCTCCTCCTTCCTCCTCCCTTCTCCTCCTCCTCCCCCCTCCTCCCCTCCTCCCTTCTCCTCCTCCTCCGCCTCCTCCGCCTCTTCCACTGCCTCCGCCTCCGCCTCCACCGCCCCCAATCCTCCTCCCCCCCCTCCTGCACCTCCTCCACCTCCGCTCCTCCTCTGCCTCCTCCTCTGCCATCCTCCTCCTCTTGCCTCTCCGCCTCCTCTCCTCCTCCTCCGCCCCTCTCCGCCTCCTCCTCCTCCGCCTCCTCTCCGCCTCCTCCTCCTCAGCTCCTCCCTCCGCCCCCTCTTAACCGCCGCTCCACCCCTCCGCCTCCTCCTCCGCCTCCTCCGCCTCCTCCCCCCTCCTCCTCCTCCTCCTCCTCCTCCTGCCTCCTCCTCCTCCTCCCCTCCTCCTCCTCCTCCTCCTCCCCTCCTCCCCTCCTCGCCTCCTCCCCTCCGCCCCCTCCGTCTCCTCACGCCTCCTCCTCCACCTCCTCCTCCTCCTCCTCCTCCTCCTCCCCTCCTCCTCCGCCTCCTCTCCTCCTCTCCTCCTCCTCCTCCTCCTGCCACCTCGCCTCCGCCCCTCCGCCTCCTCCTCCTCCCTCCTCCACCTCCTCCTCTCCTCCACCTCCTCCTCCCCTCCTCCCCGCCTCCGCCCCCACCGCCTCGTCCCCTCCTCCTCCGCCGCTCCAGCTCTTCTCCTCCACCTCCTCCTCCTCCTCCTCCTCCTCCTCCTCCTCCTCCTAGCCACCCCCACCCAACCCGAAGGCCCTAGACCACTCCAAGTTTCGGGTTGAGGGGTGTACGGGTTTCATCGTGCTCCCTCGATGTTCTGGAGTGCCCACCGCACCGCAAATCGACGAGCCCAAGGGTCACTTCGGGTTGGGTTGTAGTCAGGCAGGGGTAGGGGGGAAGGCTTCTTAGAAGGAGGCTGCCTCTGAGAAGGCGCGGGCCTTATCTGGAGATGTAGGGCCGGCGCCTTTTAAGAAGCGGCCTCCTTCTAAGAAACCGTCCCCCTCGCCCCCATACTCCCTTCTGCGCGCCGCCAAAGGGCGGCAGCAGCGGTCCTCGCCATGCCTGCTCCAAGCAGCAGGATCGGGGGCTGGGGCTTGGCTATGCCCTCCGCCTGGGGGGCCGCTCTTCCTGGAGGTCCAGGCGTTGCGATTCTCGGCGGGCGTTTTCGCCCAGTCTGGGGGCCTGGGACCATCACAGATCGGTCCGGCCCGAAAAAAGGCCGCGAGCCGATAGGGCGTACGACTCTGGTCGCTATTTCTCGCGATGCCGTACACCTTAGGCGATGCTCAAGAAAACTTAAGTTTTCGGCCATAGTCTCGATTATTCTTAACGTCTCAATGCAAATCTTCAGATTTTAATGGAAATGTTGGGTTTTTATTCAAGTTCTGAGACTATGAATTTCTTAACCCATGATTTCTTAAGCATTTCGCAGGGTGTACAGTCGGCCCTGATTAGTACGTCGACCCTGCCAGATCAAGGGTGCCATTGTGTCATGTGCCTCGCGACCCCTGCCTTCTCGCATTCTCATGGCAGTGTGGCCCTCGGGAGGGTTTTTTGTCCTGTCGCGTGTCCTCCCCAGCAGTCAAGTCCGACTGTAGGACGAGGACAGATCAGTGCCAGAGCGTTCCAGAACGCTCTCAGAGCGTTCTGGAGCGCTCTGAGAAGGCCACGGCGCCCGATGCATCTTCCAGAGCGGCCAGATTTCAGAGATCGTCGCTGATCCTTACCCGAATTTATCCTCGTCCTGGCTTCGTCTTCCACAACTGTGCCATATCCAACGCCTGCCGAGGTCCCCAGAGATCTCCCCCCGCAGACGGTGGGTGCGAACAAGTCCCCCCATGCCCGCAGGAGCAGCAGCAGCCGCAGCAGCCGCAGCAGCACCTCCAGCAGCAGCGGCAGCAGCCGCAGCGACCTCGGGTCGCTGGCAGACTCCAGGGCCGCGGGCGCGCCCGCGGCGGGCAGCAGCGCCGGCCAGCACACCACGGCGCCGCTGTCCCTGATAGAGGATGATCTCAGGGGAGGAGAAATATCAAACGATGCGAAGATCGGGACAAAATCGGATCGGGATAACTCGAAATCTTTGAGAATCGGCGGGTTTGGAGGATGTATTGGGCGCCGCGGCCGCTCCAGAGCGTTCCGGAACGCTCTGAGAGCGCTCCGGAACGCTCTGCAGCGATTTATCCCGATCCTAGCCCTGTTTTGAGAAAAGATCTCACGCCGGTCGTTGAAAGGATGTATTTCTGGATTCCCAGATCCCAATCTACTTCAAGCGCCCTCCTACTTCACGGAAGAGTGACCTTTCGCTGGGGTGGCCTTGAGAGCGGGCCCACTGGGGTCCCCCGATTTCCAAATACGATGCGGTAGCAGCGGCTTGCGCGCTTGGGTTTGCCCCCCCCCCCCCCCCCCGGCGGCTCCCCGAGCCGCGCACCAAAGGTTGATCTCTTGCCCAGGGTCATTCTTGCGTGTAGCCGAGAGGATGACCTCAGGGGAGGAGAAGGTTATGCCGACACCGCTCGTCCTCGTCCCCACGGCGGGTCGAGGCTGCAGGCCAGGATGGGCCCCTGAGGGGCCAGGAGGTGAGCTCTGCGGCCAGCGGCATTGGCCTCCTCCTCCTCCTCCTCCTCCTCCTCCTCCTCCTCCTCCTCCTCCTCCTTTCGGAATCGGCGGCAAGCCCGGGGGAAGCGAGGAGGCGCGGGCCTTCTAAGAAGCCCCGCCGCCTCGGGAGCAGGCCTTCTCATCCTCGCCTCCCCCCCCTTGCCCGCCGCCCCCCGAGAGAGGACCTGGAGCCCCCGAGCCCCATGCTGCTGGGCCTGCGCGACCAGCCGCCCGCGGCGGCGGGCTGGCCCGTGACCCCCCTGTCCGCGGGCCTCGACGCCCCGGGGCCCCTGCAGGGCAGCCGGCACCCGCCGACGCCGCTGGGCACGCCCGCCCTGCGGCGCACGCCGCAGGGCACGCCGCCGGAGCCGCGCTCGCCCCTGGGCCTGCCCACCGCGCCGCTGCCGTCGCCGCTGCGCACCCCGGACACTCCGCTGAGGCTTGGCTCGCCGCCGAGCCCGCAGGAGCTGGAAGAGGCCGTGGCGCAGGTGGCGCAGAGGTGGCCCGTGGACGAGGGTCACGCCGCGAACTCGGTCCCGCGCTTCTCCCACAGGATCAGCATGGCTGAGGATCACGACTTCCTGTGCCAAGCCACCCCCACCCAGCCCGAAGGTCTCGGGCCCCCCCTCCCGAATTTCGCCATGTGAGGCGTAGGAGTTCCAGGGCGTTCTCTTGATGTTCCGAACGTCCCACCCGCCGGCACTTGGCGGGCCCACGGCGACTTCGGGTTGGGTCGGGGTGGCTTGGTGGGTCGTCAGAGGAGGCCCTGCCGGCGGAGCACGTCAGCTCCCCAGTGCGCCTGCATATCTACGACGTGTCCCAGCGGCCATGGGTGTGGTGGATGAACACCCTCCTTGCGAACCAGTACGTCTGCTGCAAGTTCGGCGGGTTCTTTCACGTCGGCGTTGAGGTGTCCAGCTGCCTGCGGCGAGTTCCGCCAGCGTGCCAGCGCTGCACCCTGTGCGCAGCCACCCAGAAGCCCAGGAGGCCATGCGCGACACCTCTGGCCTCTATTTTTCAGGGGCTCGCGTAAGGCCTGGCCTGACCGCCCCGGGACCGTCTTTGTCTTGGGGCCCTCGTCGGCTGTCGCAGGCCTCTCTCTCGGCCGTCTGGGGCGTCTCTTGGGGCCGTCGGGCTTCTGCGGGCCGCCTTGCGCCATCTTCGGGCTCTCTTGAACCATCCTGGGCCCCTCGAGGCCAGTCTTGAGGCCTTGGGGACCGTCTTGGTGCCGCCTCGGGGCATCCCTCGGCCGTCTGAGGGGTCTCTTTGTCTCGGGGCTCTCCCGGGCAGTCCTGGGCCCCTCTCGGGCCTTCTCGGGGCTCTCGTGTGACTGTTCTGGGCCGTGGGGGGTGGGGGGGGGGGGACCGCTGGGAGCCATCATTGGGTTGTCTGGGCATCCTTTTGCGTGTTCGGAGGCCCACTTGGAAGCATCTTGAACCGAGAGTGCTGGGAAACGCCCCCGATTCAGACTCACGAGGATGTCCTCAGGCCTTTGATCGATTATTGATGTTGGCTTTCTTGGGATGCATCTTGGCCGTCTCTGTGGAGTCTTCGAAGCATTCTGGCGTCTCTGTGGCGCCCCTTGGGGCCATCTTGCGGGTTGCTGGGTGACTCTTGAGACAGTGTTGGGTCATCTGGCCAGCATCGGTGGCCTTGAGGAGCTTTAGAGAGCCCCAGGGTGTTGTTGGGCTGCCTTGGGAACCTCGGGAGGTATGAGAGCTTCCCGAGGACATTCCTGCTGAGAACGACAGAGAGCTTGAACAGGATGTGAACCGCTATCTCGACGACACCTATGATGGAAGCGATGACGACACCCCTTACCCTTACTGTCGTTGTCGCGCACCCCGCTGCGCGGTCTCTCTCTGGGAGTTCCCCGAGGGCTCGGGAAGAGAGGGTGCTCACGCCCTGGGCCAGGCGGTGGGGGTGGGGGCGGGCCCGAGGTAAGGATCTATCCACAACCGCCGCTTGGGGGACCTGTGACCAGGCGGCGGGGGGGGCAGACATGCTGCGATGGGGGTGGGGGCGGGCCCGAGGTAAGGATCTATATATAACCACCGCTTGGAGGATCTATGACCAGGCGGCGGGTGCGGATAGTCATGTTCGGGCCTCGGGGGGGGAGGCGGCGGGGGGGGGGGGGGCAGATGTACTCACATCCGCCAGCCGCGGCCCCAGATGGTCGATCCCCCAGGCGGGGGTCATATGGGGTCATGGGCAGATCCTCGCCCCGCAGCAGCGGGGCCTCCGAGGACGTGCAGAAGCCCTACCGGGCAGCACCCGGGCATCCCTGCCGCGCCTCGACGTGCCAGGGGGGCGCGGCGGCGGATACGGCGAGGAGTGGATGTACGGCCACTGCGAGGCCGGGAGCGGGATCTCGCACTCCGTGCCAGGGGCTCACCGGGAGCACCACTTCAGGGAGACCGTGGAGCTGCTGCCAACCAACCTCTCGAAGAAGCACGTGCTCAGAGTGATCGACCAGGAGCTCAAGCGGGAGTACTCTGGCCCCCGCTACAACCTGCTGAACAGGAACTGCTGCCACTTCGCCGACGACCTGTGCCAGAGGCTCGGCGCGGGGCCCATTCCGTTCTGGCTGTACAGGCTGGCCAGCATAGGCGACGTCCTGAACAAGGCCCGCCAGAACAGGACCGTGGATTGCATCAGCGAGGTCACGGCTCGGTTGTCGTGGTCGTTGTCCTCTCCCTTCCCCATCCTGTCTCACGTTCTCGCGGCTGCGCGCTGAAAGAGACGAACTCGGGGGATTCAGGCTTGCTTCATAGAGCTGTGGTTTCTCTGCGGCGGGGAAGAGCAAACCCTTAAATGAATAACGCACCCTCCGATATGACTGCAGAAGTCTCGACCTGATCCCGGGGCGTATGTTCTTCGCCCTGGATCCATGTTTGATTGTCCCCGGGCCCCATAACGCGCCCTAGAGGCCGAAATCAACGAACAAATCCCAGGCCATAACACTGGCCTCTGGCGGTCGTTGGGGACGATTCCGGCACCCCCAGAACGCTCTCGGCGAGGCGCAGCTGCTGAAAAGCATCCCGAGGCAGGATCACCTCCAGAACCGACGAAAACTTCCCGAACCCAATGCGCCCCGGAGGCCGAAAACATGGGAAAAACGCGCGGATTGAAAAGACCATATCGTCGGAGACCTGGGCACATCAGTCATCGGCGAGGTCACTGGGCGAAGCCTTGCGCAGCTCAGGCTCGACAGCACGGTGCGCGCTCCGCTCGAGGAATTTGCTGGCCAGGTTGCGGCGGGGGCACCCGAGGGGGAAGCCCAAGACGAGCCCGCCAGCTCTACCTGCGGCCGTGACCCGCGCACGGCGACCGGGGGCCCGCGCGGGGATGGCGAGGCTTCTGGGCACTGCACCGGCGGCTCTTGCGCTCTTGGATATTTGTAACTGCGCCAGCTCGGAGTCGCATCGGGGAAAAGGCGTCGCTGGTGCTGGCCCACCCCCGCGCCATCCGATCTCGCCACGAAGCACTCGGGTCCTGCGGGAAATGGGGCCAGAAACTTTCGGCAGTTTTTGGGTTCGTTTCGGTTTGATAAGCTGGTCCTGGGGTCCAGGATTGGTTTGCCTTACGACCGGTTGCCTTCATGCCAGTGATCCCCCCGTGCCCTCCTCCTGGAGAGCCCGGCGCGACACCAGGACAGGAAGGGGCATTTTCTCGGTTGGGGATCATGCATATTTTGCGGGACAGTGCGATGCACTGAGATGCAATGCGAAACATTGTAGTTTCATCATATCAGCGCATGGCATAGCGCTGTTTAGTATATCATATCATGTGATTGCATGTCCTTGTGCAGAAGCATAGATAGCCGGGCAACTAAGAACCAACCGTGGCATCATCATGGATGAATATTGTATATGATGTCAGCTCATAACATGTCATTGCATGTAATGACATGGTGTAACATTGCTCGGCGACGAGTAGCTCATGGTATATGTGCATATGAAATCAAGTCGCTGCACATATGTCAACAATATATATATATATATATATATTTATATATATATGAATGTATATGTATATGTATATATATATATATATATATATATATAGCATAGCCTTCGGCCCATCCTGCCACCATGCCTGGGCTGTGGGTATGAAGTGTATTGGATACTCGTTGGGATCTCATGGGAGGCCTTTTTGAGGGCCTCATGGAATATCGCCCTAGCGGCTCATGCCAGACCCCCCCACCCACCCCGGCCGGAGTCTTTTCTTCCTTCCGCAGTTGTTATTCTTCTCTCCCCGCTCGTTCCGTGCAGCCGCTAGCCGCCGCCGCTTCCGCAGCTGTATGTTGAAGGATCGGGGCACGAGATTCGTGTCAGGAGCGCGTCCCGCGCGCGTGGGAAAGAAAGGTGCCTGCGTCGTCGCCTTGTCGTCGTTCCATCCTCCTTTGCTCCCACATCCTACTATACCATCTTGATGGATTACCGAGTCATGAGAAGCGTGTCTGATATACCCATCATGAGCGATGATACCGATATGTTGACACCGCCATTATATCTTACTTTTGCCGGAGCCCGTATTTTTCTGGCGAGTGGTTATTAACCGAAAGTTCTGATGATGGGACTGACATGCAATTGGCCGCAGTCAGTGATCTCACTGTGCTTGCTCCATTGGAGGCTGCGCGCTATCACCCGAGCATTCCGCTCAATGGTGTAGTAGGTCATATCCTCGGGGTGTTACCATTATCTCGTTACCTGATGACCCCTTCGTTTCGATGGAAGACAGCGAATCGGCACTGGTTCAAACAATGGAAGGGGGCAGCTGACCTGACTCAGGAACTCCCAGCTATCATGGAATATGAATATCGAGATTATGACACTGCGCCCATCAGTGCGAGAAAACTTCGATCGCATTCCGGACGGATCACGCGGGAAACTGCACGGGAGAGACCTGAAGCAAAGCGTTTTGAGGTGCTTGGGGATGGAAGCATGGAGAATGACTCCCCAACGCAGACTTCCACCTTGGCACGGGGCTTGATTAATGACCAGCGGTGCCCAGCTACACATGAGATCCCAGAGAGAATCCCGATTCCAACGTTGCTTTCGCTTGACGCAGCGTCGCAAGGAGATCTGAATCAAGATCGCCGCTCGCATCCAGAACGTGTGCCAGGCCGAGGAGCAGCCAAGGATCTCGTGGATTGTCTCCAGGCGACCTTTCGTTGGAAATCAGTTGTTACGCCAGAGGACTTCGATGCTACCCGTCAGCGGAAATCAGATGCCCCGAGAAGGCGCGCAGACCCCAGGGCCCTTGCCATCGCCCGGTATACGGAGGCTGTTCACGCGCGCGTCAGTATTGCAATATCCATTTCTTTGCTCCGAATGCATAGACATGAAAGGGCACATTTGTCATCGTCTTGCCTCGTTGGAATGGCAGCGAGCGGGGGCGGAGAAATTATTTGCCGACGAAACGAGACTCCGCGGGGAACTGGCCGCGCAATGTCGCGCGATCACAGCGCGGAAGTGAAAGCGCAGGAAAACGAACGCATCTGGATGATCCATGACGGGGGTGGAGACACTTTTGCATGCCGCGCAGTATGCTCTTTTATGCCTGCAGGCAGCATCGGAGGCAACGAAGCTGATTCCGATGGAAATTGAAAGGCAACATACAGAGTTGGAAGAGCTAGCAGAGCAGGCGACGATAGAAACAGGAAGCCGAGAAGCGGGGGGGCACGGCAGCGAAGTAAGCGCACGTGCATCAGCCTGCGCAGAAAAAAACGGAGACAGAGGCAAGGAGTTCTCATCGACCAGCGGGTGGTGCGACGCCATGCGAACGAAGAAGCAGCGGCAGTTGCGCAGCGAGCGAACCCTCGAGAACGCACCGCCACTGGTCAAGCAATGCAGATGGACAAAGGAAAGAGAGTGCTTGCCGAGGACCTTGCCAGTCGGAGAGACGCACGCAGTGATTTGATGGTTCTCCGCGAGGCCCGCAACGCGACCAAGCAAGATGGCGGGGCGGCATTGTCTGCGCCGCGGATTCAACCCGCGGTGCAGGATGGCCTTGTGATGGTTCCACCTGCCGCGAAGATGCAAACAGGAGCTCGCCCTGCTGGGGGCGGTAGGTCGAGCGGATTAGCGCTCGGGGCTCAGCCTTCGTTTCCAGGGAGGTCAACGTATCGGGCCTCGGAGAGGAAGCCGCAGCCGCGCGTCGCTGCGGCCCCTGGATGTCGCCGCAGCGCAGAGAAGTTCAACTGTGGCCAACGTGCCGCGCCATGCAACGATAGCCACATCGACCCCATGACGGAGCGACGCAAGCAGCGCACCCGGGGCAAGTCGGAAGCCGAAGCGGAAGTTGCCCGAGAGCGCCAGGAGGAGGAACGTTGGCGTCCTCAAGAGTGGGAAGAGCAGGCACGAATGTCCAGCCTCGTTAAAGAACATGAATATGTCCTCATGAGCACGCGTAAAGAGCGAGAGGAATTCGAGAAAGGCAGGCGCTCCGAGGCGAATGGAGACAAGTCGAGGCCCCTTGGCGTGAATGACGCGGTCTGGAGTTTCCAGGGACACGTTGGACAACGTCTTCGCGAGGTGCCGACGTTTCCCGAATTTCTCCCGCCGCCCGAAGACTCTTCCTTCAAGGCGCCTGATGCCCCCGAGGAGCCACCTGGCCCGTCGCCTTCTGCTAACGGCCCAGGCGGGGGCGGCGGCGGCGGGGGGGGTGGCGGCGGCGGCGGCGGCGGCGGAGGGGCGCCCGGAACAATGCGTTGGATCGCCCAAGCACTAGATCCCGATGTAGATTTGAAGCCTGCGCGGAGATCGGGGACGTACGAGCGAATGGACACGGCGATTGCTTCGGGCCTCGCTGGGAAAATTGCCGAGGTGACAGCAGAAGGATCTCCCACCTCAAAAGACTCGTTTCACCGCGCAGATCTCGCGCGTGGAATGCGACGCGCACGACGAATCCCGTCTGCCCTCGGGGCGAGAGATGATGCGTCTGATTTGCGGGTGGCTTTCCATTCAGACAGGGCGCGGCAGAAACATGGCGGTGCGGGAGTTGTGTAATATCGTCATTCATATGAACGAACCAGATGAATACCTGTATAGTCTCTACAGAGAATGGATGGCTTTGCATCGCGACCTGCGATGGGGGCTCAGAACCAGCCCCGGAAGTTGCAGCAGCAATCCACGAACGCGTCTATGAGCACGTGAACCTAGTTCCGAAGATGGGGTGGGCAATCACCTTTCACGAGATGGGCAGTGCCGATGCAGGCGCAGATGTCGAGACGCACGAGCGGCTGCTGCGGCAATTGTAGAATATCGCGGAAAACGAGCTGAACGAACGCGACCTTGATTGCAGCAGGAGGACCCCCAAAGAAAGAGGGCACTGAAAGGTGAAGCCGCAGGTCCTACTGACCCGAAGAAGTGTCTGGGGAAGGCCGCGGACAGGGTCGAGGATGGACGGGCGAAGAAAGAAGTCGCGCGCAAGTGTGTTCTGCAGGAAGGTCAACGCCCAAATGAAGAGTTGGGATATCCATTTTACCGCGGGAAGCCCGCGGCAGCTTCCACGCCGCGCCGCAACCGGCCCAGCCGGCTGCCAGGCCCGAGGCAGACAAGAACGGAGAAGGAAATGGCAAGGGCAAAGGCATCAGAGATATCTACTACCCCGGGGCCCAAAGGCGCCAGGAATTCGCCCGGGGGTCCTACGCGCGGGAGAACAACGAGGGAACGTGGTTTGCCGCGCTTTCTCGAGATGCCGCGGCCATCAGAACGTCGCCGGCAGCGCAGAAAACTGACTCCCGATGAGATGCTGCGACGTGACAAACGAGGGCAAGCTGCGCAGGAAGCAGGGGAGAAACTGTGCATGCGCATTCAGGAACGGATGAGTCGGCTGCGGCCAATGCGACCAAAGCATATTCCGCGGCTGGACCCGACGCTGGCTGTGAGAAGGGCGGTCAGCGATGCGCCCTCAGCAAAGGGAACAGAAGTGGCTGGCAAAGGGGGTGCTCCTTGCTGGAATTTGACGGATTAGAACGAATGCCCCTTCGGCGCCCGGCGCCGACTCTGCGCCGAGGTCCCAGGACAATTGCGACATTGGCTGCCGGGGGCCGGCGGCTCAGCCACTCGCTTCCTGGGACACGCTGATCAACGACATTCTAACTTTTTGATTATGGCTGTGATATTAGCTCGGTGCGCATGTGGTGCCTCGGCGTTTGCCAATCGATCTAGTCGACGACGTCGTGAGAACAGGTTAAGTGCAATCGGGGCGAATAGCAGTCATGAAGCTTGCCCAGCACATTTGAAAGTTGGCGCATATTTCGATTGCCAACTTGCGCGGGCAAGGATCCATTGTCCAATGGCGTTGCCCATTCCGAACCCACACCCTACGTGGGATATGTTAGATACACGGTGGACTCAGCACCTGTCACATTTTCAGACATGGCAAAGAGAGAGGACCCTTTCCTGCCCATGCTTAATATTACTT